TCTTTCCCTTCCTTGTGGCTTCCTGCACTGTTTTTCCCCCTCGCGATCTTGTCTCTTTCTTTTCCCACTTCCGTAGCTATGAACACCCACGTGCGTTATCTCCTTCCCCCGTCCCATCCCGGAGCCTATTTATACAGCGCCTGGCGCCTGCCCAGCTTTGCCAGAGAGGAGCAGGACGGGGCCGGCGGTGCCCGCAGCCCAACATGCTCTTGTTCGAACACCGGCTGGCGGAGAGAGGATGCCTGCTGCTCTGCCTGCTGCCGGCTGTTCTCAGAGCCCAGTCTAACGGCGAGGCGAAGCCCAGGTCCACGCCGTGCCAGCAGGTAAAGCCACTTCCCAAGGATCCTCCTGGGCTGGGACAACCCCAGCAGCATGGCTGGGTCCAAGCGGGGCTGCGAGCATCCCGCTCTGCATCTCCTCCCCACACCTCTCTCCAGCTCTTTAACCTTCCCAGCTTGATCTCTCCTGTCTCTGAGCTGGTCTCCCACTAGCCGGTGGCCAGCACCCAGCTGTCCCCATGCCGGTGGCCCCTTCCAGCAGTCCTTGCCATGAGGGGTGTCAGCCAAGAGGGAGGATGGAGCACAGGATCTCACTGGGATTCAGGCCATGGATATCAGCAAGGGAGCTGGGAGCCTGGACGCAGAGCATGTGTGTGTCACGGGGGACAGGCCACGTTCGTGGTGGGGGTGGGACACACACAGACAGAAACCAGCTTCACATCCAGGCTTCCGACTCCAAACTGGTGGAAAAAAACAGGAGAGGGAAAGTGAAGCCCACCAGGACTTCTGCCAGGCAGGATAGGGAGGCTCTGGACCAGTCCCAGTGCTCTCCGGAGGCTGGATTTGCCCCACCAACCTGATAACGCTGCTTTTTTGCCCATCTTGCTTGCTGGGACACACGGGAGGACAATTTGTGGGGCCAGAGGCTGAGTCTTCTGCTTGCACCAGCAGAAGCAACTCAGCAGTGTCTGGGAAAGCTCACCTTAATGCTGGGGACAAGCTGCTTGTCTCTGAGAAGTGGCTTTAGGTGGTCTGGCCCCTTCCCATCCCGAGCTTGGGAAGGGGGAGAGGTGCTGATTTCCATCTTGGACAGCAGTTAGCTTGGCTGGAGCTGTGGTTTATAGACCCCCCTCATGCTGACAGCTTCTCCTGTCTCTCTGTAGAGCTCCACGAAGGTGTCTTGCAAAGGAGTTGGCCTGCGCAAGCTTCCAAAGGAGCTTGGCCAAGGAATTAAGTACCTTGAGCTCTCCAACAACTTCATCCAAAACCTGTCGGCTAGCTACATGCCAGAGTTTGGGCAGCTTGAGTACCTGGACATGTGCTTCAACCAGCTGGAAGCCATGTCAGACACAACCCTGGCTCAGCTGCCCCAGCTGCGCTCTCTCCTCGTGGGATCGAACCACCTGGACCGCAATTACCTCGCTAACGGGCAAGCTTTGCATCTGCTCGGGAATCTAGAGGTCCTGGACCTGTCGGCAAATAACCTGGAGAGCCACATGGCCGGCTGGTACATCAGCAACCTCACCAGGCTGAGGACGCTGGACCTCTCCGGGAATAAGATGACCAGGCTGGTGGCGGGGATCTTCTGGAGCACGCCACGGCTGCGCGAGCTCGACCTCAGCAACAACTACATCATGGAAATCGAGGAGGGAGCTTTTGAGGCTCTGGAAGAGCTGGAGGTGGTGAACTTGGCTTTGAATTCCCTCCACTGTATCTCTGGCTTCAGCCTCACGCAGCTGCAGGTTTTAAATCTCAGCCACAACGCCCTGGAGCTCTTTGGCTGGGAGGAGGGAGCAGAGCCCTACCTGCTCCAAGTGCTCGACTTGAGCCATAACAGACTCCTCTCTTTTCCAGAGCTCCCCAGAGCCCATTATCTCACACACTTGAACCTCTCCAACAACCTTATTGCTTCCCTGCTCCCAGGCTCACCCCATCCGGAGGAGCTCGTGCTGCGCTACGAGGACATGGTGAGGTTTAACAGGACCTCGCGTACCGCGGCTGGTCTCGCCCGTGTAGCTGACTTGGACCTCAGCAATAACCGGCTGCAGCTGTTCCCGTTTTCCTTCTTCCACAGCCTGGGCTCTCTGCGCAGCCTCAGCCTGGCTAGGAATTGTCTCCAGGATGTAGCCGGGGAGCCGCTCCCCCGGGGGGCCG